AAACTGAGATTTCTCCCCATGCTTGATGGGTTACATATATCAGCAGGAAAGTGGTATACACTATAAATGTTGTTTATTAAGGAAACAATATATATTTGGGCTGTGGTACACACCTTTAATCCTAGCACTCAGGAAACAGAAACAGGCAGGATCTGAGTTTAAGGCCAGTTTGGTCTGCAGAGCAAGTTTCAGAACAGCCAGGGCTACACAAAGAAATCATGTCGAAAAAAGAAAGAAAAAAGAGGAGGAAGAAGAAGAGGAAGAGGAGGAGGAGGAAGAGAAGGAGGAGGGAGGGAGGGAGAGAGGAAAGGAGGGAGGGAGGAAGGGAGGGAAGGAGGGAGGGAGGGAGAAAGGGAGGCAAAAAGGGAGGGAGGGAGGGAGGAAGGGAGGCAAAAAGGGAGGGAGGGAGGAAGGAAGGAAAACGCTATATTAGGGGAGCTGGTTCAGCAGTTAAGAGCATGTTCCCAGGGGGTTGGAGAGATGGCTAAGTGGTTAAGAGCATTGCCTGCTCTTCCAAAAGTCCTGAGTTCAATTCCCAGCAACCACATGGTGGCTCACAACCATCTGTAAAAAGGTCTGGTGCCCTCTTCTGGCCTGCAGACATGCACACAGACAGAATATTGTATACTAAATAAATAAATAAATAAATATTTAAATCTTTAAAAAAGAGCATGTTCCCAGCACCCACATCACACAGCTCACAACTACCTGCAACTCCAGATCCAGAGGATCTGATGCCCTCTTCTGGACTTTGAGGGAACTGCATTCATGTTCACATAGGCATAAGCATCAGACAAATATCAGAAAAAGAAAACACTATGTTTTAGGTCTTTTTCCCCTTTCCTTTTCTTGTTTGTTTGTTTGCTTGCTTGCTTGTTTGTTTTGAGACAGGATTTCTCTGTGAAGCCTTGGCTGTGGAACTGGCTCTATAGTCCAGGTTGGCCTCAAACTCAGAGATCCGCCTGTCTCTGCTTCCAGAGTGCTGGGATTAAAGGCTGCGCCACCATTGCCCAGCTGGGCTCATTTCTTATAATGAAATTTTAAGACTAGATAAACAAAAAACTTGTATTTCCTTTTATAAAATTCAAAGAAATTTCAAAAACCTTCCATACTCAACAACTAAGGGATTGAGGGTATAATATTTGCTTAGCATGTTTGAGGCTCTGAACTCAGACCTCAGCACCAGAAGGATAGCTGCAAAAGAGATTTCCTGGAGAAAGGGCAGATAAAACAGGCTATACTCACCCACACAGGCAGCTACTGGCAGGTGCACACGGACCACACATGGGCCGGCACACATGGACCACACACGGGCCACACACAGACAGACAGACACAGACAGGCACACATGGGCCACACACAGACAGACAGACACAGACAGGCACAGGCACACACAGGCCACACACAGACAGACAGACACAGACAGGCACAGGTACACACAGGTCACACACAGACAGACAGACACAGGCACAGGCACACACGGGCCACACACCGACAGACAGACACAGACAGGCACAGGTACACATAAACCACACAGAGGGAGGCGCAGGGAGGCACAGATAGCTGCTGGCAGGCACGCACAGGCCACATACAGGCAGGCACAGGTACACACACAGTGGGCTGGCTGTCAAGTGCAGAGGCTCAAGCCTCTGACCTCAAGGCTACATTTATACAGGATCACACAAGTGACACTCTGCCAAAAATAGCTATATAACAGATTACAACACTGTTTTGCTTTGGGGGTAACAGATATCCAGTGTCAGCCATCTGTGCTAATTCATAGCCCCCTCTGGATGTCCAATGTAAGCCATGTTTTACCTGACATGTGCCTGTTGCCCGCCAACCCAGAAGTAGAACTCTTGGCTTCTTCTGCAACACCATGTTTGCCTGCACACCACCATACTTCTCACCATGACAATAATGGACTAAATCTCTGAACCTGTAAGCTAGTCCCAATTAGATGTTTTCCTTTATAAGAGTTGCTGTGGTCATGACGTCTATGTATAGCAATAGAACACTGACTAAGACACCCATAATAGTAATGCAATGTTGTCTAAACATAGACTGACCCTACAGCCTTTTGTTCCAGATAAATCTATGATTGATTTATTGAGAGATAGATGATAAATAAATGGATAGAGATAACAGATACTAGAAAGATAAATGATAGATAGATAGATAGATAGATAGATAGATAGATAGATAGATAGATAGATGACAGATATTTATAGGTGATAAATTGATGGATAGATATAATAGGTGATAGATAGATAGATAGATAGATAGATAGATAGATAGATAGATAGATAGATAGATAGATGACAGATAGATATAGGTGATAAATTGATGGATAGATATAATAGGTACTAGGTAGGTAGGTAGATAGATAGATAGATAGATAGATAGATAGATAGATAGATAGATAGATAGATAGAAGACAGACAGATGCTAGGCAGATGACAGCCTGACCAGTGTGCTGTGTTATCATGGCCCCTGTCCCCTGACATTCTCTCCAGGAAAGTGGAAATACATAACTCCTTGCTTTTGTGTTGACTTTGTGCTGTTCCACCAGGCTGGGACAAAGTGTCGAAGACAATGGGATCTGTCACTAGATGCCACTCCACAGTCCATTTCCCAGCAGCCTCCGGTTGCTCCATGTGCAAGAAACTCAACATGCACACTTACCCTTCTTACGTGCATACTTAAAAAACAGCACTTGGCTTGCCCACCCTTCTCCATAGGTGTGGGGCGGGGGGAGCATTTGCAGACGTTACTATGTGGAAAGGCTGTGCATGACTCACAGACACCCAAGCCCAGGGATGTTAGGGATATCAGCTCCTCATAGGTGGCCACTAGACTCTGGCAATCTGTGAATGAATGAATGAATGAATGAATCACTAACCGTGTCCCACACACCCAGGACGCAATGGTGGAAGAGAAGGCTGGGGATACAAAGCACCCACCACTAGTCGAGAACCTACTTCTCCAGGACTCTCAGTCACCAGAATTAACCTCATCTTCCCAAATTTGACTCACAAGAAAAGCACAGGATTTAGGAGGCTCCTCTGCCTACCCACCCAGTGACAAAGGTAAATATTTATGGGGAGAGAAGACCCTTTAGGAGAGCTGCCTACAAACTGTACAGCTTTCGAAAGCCATCCCTTAGGCTAAGTGGGGAGCTGTTTGGTGCAGCTGTCTTTTGAGTCACCCACAATCCTGTAAACAACTTCAATAAACTCACGAGTTCACCAAATTTGGTTGGAGTCGTTTCTTGGTGTGTCTGTGGGGCCCTATTTGGCTAAATAGATCTTTACTGTCATCTGTGTAAATATAAATGTAATTTTCCCTCGTGGAAAGTAGTCAGCAGACTGGAAACCCATGGCTCTGCTCTGTAGCAATGTGTCCTGTGGCTGTGATGGAGTGACATGTGCCCACATGGCAGCCCTGTTCCTGTGGCCATGGCCACTGGGGTCATGGGGAAAACCTGGACTCCTCCTCTGTTGAGGCTGAGGAAGCTCAGCCTGTCACTGGCATTGCTTTGGCAGTGACCCAGTGACACACTGTGGGGTCTGCCACGCTGTGAGCTATGGGCCCAGGTTTAGTGTAGCTCAGTGTTTGAATCACTCTTACGATTTCTCTTAACAAAGACTTCTTGGTCGACCCCTCCCTGCTGCCCCCCCCCTCCCCCCACACACACAGCTTGAAGGAACAGTTGGGTTCTTGGCAGATCGTATGTGGGGTTGCTGCAGTGGAAACAGCTCCCCCTATGTGGCTCGCGGGCCTGGAGGAAGGAAATCTCACTCTTCCTTTGCCTCCTCAGAAGGGGTAGATCTACAGTGTTTCCATGACTGTTCTTGTACCTCCAGGTTGAGGTAAATTTGGCCCCCATCGTTCTGAAGGCCACTGAGTCCAGCCCTTTGCTGGTTCAGAACATTAAGCCTGGCCTGGAGGGGGGCTTCTCATTCTGCTGGTTTCCAGATATGCAGTGGGGTTGGGTACCCACTTTCTCTGGGACTCCGTTTATATTTGTGAAGAAGGGACAAGTGTATCCACTCATTTATGGAAACATGGAGAGAACTAGGCAGAAGTCTATGAGAAGTGCTCAGAATGGCCCTGGCAGGTCATAGGACTACAGCCAACACAGCCTACCACATACAAAGTGAGGTGCCGGCTGTTCCGGGTCTCATGTGTGCTAGCTTGGCTGGACATGTGTCTTCATGGAGACACCAGAGGTTACTAATAGAGAAGCGGAGAGATGCTCAGTGGTTATGAGCAAGTGCTGCTCTTGCCGAGGACGCATTCCTGTTCCCAGCATCCACCACAGGAAGTCCACAGCCACCTGCAACTCCAGCTCCAGGGGATCTGGTGCCCTCTTCTGGTCTCCATGGGCACTGCACTCATATTGCACCCCTCCCTGATGTGGGATTCCCCTCTGTATGTTGTGAATACCATTGGTGAACAGAGAAACTGCCTTGGACTGTTGATAGGGCAGAACTTAGGTAGGCAGAGAAAACTAAACTGGATGCTGGGAGCAAAGAGGCAGAGGCAGAGAGAGGAGCCAGACAAAAGTTTGCCTGGTAAGCCACAGTCACATGGCAATAAACAGACTACTAGATATGGATTAAATTAAGATGTAAGAGCTAGCCAATAAGAAGCTAGAGCTAATGGGCCAAGCAGTGATTTAATTAATATAGTTTCTATGTGATTATTTCAGGGCTGAGCAGCCCGGAACCACCAAGTGGCCTCCTTACAACACCTTCCCACATACACACATAGTTAAAAATACAATCTTTTCTAAAATCAGTGACTAATAAGCCAGGCCTCATTGCACAACTCTCACCCCTCTGGCTCCCCCACTGCCCAGCGTGGTTCGCCCTCCTGCTGGGTTCATTCCCCTAACTGAGCGTGCCAACCAGGACCCCACAAACCTCCCAGTTCATCCGGGACTCCCCTCTCCAGCTCTGCAGCACTGGAAACAGAATCTACCACACATCGAAAGCTGATGGAGAACCATTTTATTCTAAGGCATTTCCTTCCATAGTCCAAAGAAACAGAATGAATGCAGCGCTGTAGTTCACAGGTGTGAGACACACAATCATTGTGGTTTTGTGACAATGTCGACGTGTGTGTTTATTCCACACTCCAAACTATAACCTTTCAAACAAAGAAAGTGTCGGTCATAACAGAACATAACTTGAAGATTATCCTTTTCCGTAAGAAACAACACCTAGGGAAGAAACACTGGAGGGGGGGCAGGGAAACGCCCACCGTAAAGTGACACAGAACTCAAGTCACATTTTCCTTTGCTTTGCCAGTGACAAACTACTTAAAGCACCAACCAGCCCTACGGAAACACTAAAGCACCCCGGGCTCTTTGGAATGGATCCTCTTGGACGTTTCACGGGCTTCCTGTAGGAATGGGTGAACATGGCTGTGTCAAACTGGCAGCGTGGCTATGGATTTCCTGTTGTGTTCCAAACTAACAGAAGAAAGTGAAGAGCAAACACGCACAATGAGATTGGGTGGGAGGGCACTGGGCGATCACAGAGAGGCAAACTCAACCAATCAGCGCACAGCGTGTCTGAGGGGGTGTCACTGAGGCCTTCCACCCTTCCAAGGAAACGTTTTAAAGGCACGGGCCCAAAGGTGCCAGCGCTGAGCTTGCTCACACCAAACCCTTACCCAATGGCCTCCCTTCCCCTTCATCAGAACCATCTGCGGGGCTACAGTGCGGAGTGAACTCTAAACAGGTTTTATGTCACTCTTGTGTTTTCGCAAACTGTGGAGTGCAAGGATTATAAAAAGTAGTTAACTTTTTTTAAAAAGCATATAGTAAAAAACCGAAACATGGGACGTGTTCAGATTTATGGACAAACCAGCTCCCGGGATTACTACTAAATCACGAGGCAGTGGGAAGATTGGGCCAAGATGTGGGAGGCCGCCAGACAGGGCCCAGTGTGCCCGACTAAAGCAGGCATCTTTGATGACACCCTAGTTGAAATGAGAGTGATGACGGCTCGCTTGGTGTCCCGGGCTCAGCACTGTCTTGCACTGACATTCAAGTGTTTCTGGTCACCAGGGAATGGAGTTGACACAGCTCACTGCTTCCTGAAATCATGGCTCCCTTCATGCCCAGCCACTGTCTCTGATGCAGGGGTGGGAAATGGTACTCACTCCACTCTGGCGGGCTGGCAGGGATGTCTGGTGGCGCTGACTATCAGGTCTTCTGAGAGCAAACACTGGCAGAGAGCAAGGGGCACACACCTCATACTCCCCACTCCTGGTCTAGAACCAGCCCTTAGCAGACCCTTGGGTCAGCAGCACTAAGCCATACTCACTAAACACCGGTTGACAAAGACATCAGAGCTCTGCCTCCGTTTACCTCTTTGGCCAAACAGGCTTGAATGTTACCCAGGAATTTGCACCCCTAAACAACTTTAGCACAAGTTCACATTTACCTGTCTGCAGTACGCGCTCCCTCCTTCAGCTTGAATGAAAACCTAAGGCCTTTGGAATGTCTCGGGTTCTTGGTTTTAGAAACAAAACAAAACAGAAAACACCATGGTCAAAGTCTTCTTTGGTTTCATGCTTCATCTTAAGCCTTTTGTTTCTGGCCGGCAGGCCCAGCCTTCCAGATTCTCTGATGCTCCATTTTAGAGGAGACCGAAGAAGCTATGGGTTCTCACACCATCATCTCAGAACCTTTTCAGGGTACTGAGTCGGAGCACTGACGTCAGGGCTCCTCCACCAACCCACGCACCAGACTCTTCTGGCAGGCAGCTCCCACTGGGCATCCTCCCAGACACTTTCTGCCACACAGTGGGATCAGAACCCCTCAGAAACATCTGGGGGTGGGTAAGGCAACAGGGAACGGGAAGGAAATAAAAAGACCGTATCATCTAAGGAGCCGTCTGGAGGCGGGAAGGGTTTCAAAGACACCGCCATTGGCTGAAGCCTCCAACTGGTACTAGCGGAAGGAAGCTCTAGCTATCAAAACGCCCACACGGGTGAAGGCGCAGGCAGATGGATACCGTAACAGCCACCCAGTCCTTCCCTAAGCACTGCTGGCAGCAAGAATAACAAAATTCTGTTGGGAGTCTGTGCATCTGGATCCTCATACCCATCAACAGTACAAGGGCGACCTACCAAGCCAGGTTCCTACGAGCTTGGCAGACGACAGTGGCACACCTCCATTTGGTCCAAGTTGCTGGCATTAGAAAATACGCCCAAAAGACGGTGCTTGGGAAGAGAAGTGGTTGACTGGCAGGCACAATGATGTGCCTTTAACCACCCATCTCTGCCCAACACTAACTCAACTCCCATCATCTCCGAATATGGGGCTGGGCTGCATACAGTGAAGGCGTGGAGAGTCACAGTGGGGAACATAAATTAGATTCTAAGGTGCAGTAGTGAAATCGTAGACTCCCCAAAACTCAGTTCTACAGCGAAATATAAATTAAATCTATTTATAAGTACCGCTTTTTGGTGACGATTTCAGTTCAGAGTTTTTTTTTTTTTTTTAAAGAACCCAGCATAAACAATTTTAAAAAATAATGGAAAAAGAAAGAAAGGCAGGGTTGCTCGAAGCCTACAGTCCCAGCAGTGGGGAGGCCAGGCCGAGAATCCTGACTTTGGGGTTATCCTGGGCTCTAAGGCAATGGCTTGCAAGCTTCCAACAGCATTATAAGCAGGTTGTAGACTGGACAGCTACTGGCAGATTTGGTGACAAGACCCTGAGATCTGTCACTAAGTCCCAAATAAACAGAATTTTTTTGTTTTGTTTTTCGAGATGGGGTCTCTTTGTGTAGTCTTGGCTATCCTAGAATTCTGTAGCTCAGGCTGGCCTCGAACACAGAATTTTTAAATAGCTGTGCAAACAGAAGTTTTATAAATAGGCTCTCTGGGTATATTAGAGGCATGGCTGTAAAGAAACCCTGAAGATACTTGGGGTGGGGGTTGTCATCCCCCTCGGCGTGACCTGCCCCTGGGAGAACAGCCGAGAGGAATGGATCTGCCTGTAGTTTTGGCTTTTCTAGGGAGCTTTCTTAACTGTGTAAGGCGGCTGTCACTGACCGGGCACTGCTGGCTTGGTTAGCTCTACTACAAGAGAGCGGCTGGTCATAGCAAAAGCTCTTCAATCGAAATTCCTGTAGGTGAGGGCCTTGTTGCTGTAAGTGCTGGAGATTAAACCCAGGGCCTCTCGTGCATGCTAAGTGGGCTCTTAAGTCTTTTTAAGAAACACGGGCCCATGATTGGCAGATCCCTTTATTCATCGTGAACCGCCTCGGTGAAATCTCTAGAGCTGTTGCTCACTGCTGTCTGACTGAGAGCCAAGAGCCAGCACCTCACTTCAGACATGCCAGCAGAGGCCGTTAGTGTCTGTAAGAAATCCCACCCCCCCACCACCCCCACCCCCGCTTTCTAACGTAAATGAGCTACAGCCACCTGGCCTTTAAAGGCACACGGTGACCGCACATCTGCCCCTACACAGGAATCCTCATCCAGATGTGCAAAAGTTGTCTGTTTTTAATTTTAGATCTTGAAACAAGATCTAAGTCAATACATTCAATAAAAGTAACTCATAAAGGTGTGTTCTCCTTACGCGGTACTCCCTCATTTAAGGCTCCATTTATAAAATGTCAAGAGCAATCTTCTAAAAACAGAGACCTCACAGCGCAGGGTCCATGGCCCACACAGGCCTGCATTTGCCGCACATAGCCGAAGAGGCTGAGCAGCCTGCTTGTGCAGCCTTCTCAACTGCAGATAGACTGGAGAAGTAGCTAGTGTGTGCTCATCCAAGTGTGTGGAGGAACCAGCTGCGTGCGCGGAGTCTCTGTCTGGCTCTACCATTGCAGCACGCAAGGCAGTCACAACTTGTGGGCCCCTGAGGACAGCTATAACTCTAGCTATAACTCAACATCAGGACTTTACTTAAAATATTAGGGTTTTTTTTTTAAAGGTAACTCAATTGTACACGAACTTTATAAACGTTAATGCAAGTCCTAAATGTCAAAAGTCTGGACACACCTGTAGGGTCCCTGAAACACATATACAATAAGGCGCCTGACCAGAGAAGCTGGGTGACAAGAGAGACAGGAGGGGTGAGGAGGAGGTTCCTAACGCTTGTCAAAAAAAAACCCTGAACATGAAAGAGGAAATTCCCCTACTCCTGACATCTCAGGTGACCTAAAGAAATAGCTTTTAAAAAAAAAAAAAAAAAAAGTCATCTTTACGGGACTAACATGAGGCCCTAGGTTCCACCCCCAGAAGGGAGAACATAGAAAAAAAAAAAAAGCCATCCAAATAGTCCACTGTGTCAGATGCTGACCTCGGCCCTTGCAGGGCAGACCCTGGCTGGCTGTCTACTTTCTAATGCTGAGTTTTGGTCGTTGGCCCAAGACTGTTAGGTTTGGAAGAATACTTATGACATTTGTTCCCATGATGTGTAAAACAGGCTAGAAGGGATAATGTTGGTGTCCTTCCCCCAAGTTTTCAAGTAAGCTTATTTACAGCCAGCCAAGCCTCCGACACACATGGCCTATGTTTACCTACTGTGCCCTTCAGGAGTCAGAATGCCAGAGGGTTGCCTTCCTCCCCTCTTGAACTGGATTGTTCTTCTAATACTGTTAAATCATTCAGGTCTCTGCTTTGTTGGGCAGATAGAGAGAGGAAATCAACAAGTTATGCCCGAAGGCTGGGAACCGCCGGAAGGCCTCCCAGCTGTCGGCGAAGATGTTGTACTTGAGGAACACCCGGTGCTCCAAGCTGGTGGACAGGGTGACGTCCCTGCTCATGATGTAGATGCCGTCATTGTGCAGGGCACAGGTCAAGTTCAGGCCTGACTTGGACGTGTTCTCTTTCAGGTAGAGCCACTGTCGGGTGACCGTGTTGTAGGCCTGCACGGTGAGCATGTCTTCGCTCTGGCTGCTCCTGCGGTTGGGCCCCAGTTCGTGGAGACACCCGCCCACCATGTAGATGGTCTCCTCCACGGACACCATCTGCTGCTTGCGGATGTGGACATCACAGGTCTCAAAGAGCGTCCAGAGGTCAGAGGAGGGGCAGTACTGCAGGATGTTCATGTTGCGATCTGAAACACAGAAGGAGGCCAGATGACAAGTGGCCGGGACATGCGCCACCCAGGCAGGGGGAACCCGGCTTCGTCACACATACCATGTGGCCGTAGGCAGCCGAAGCTCAGTCAGAAAGGCAGGGGCTATGGAAATCTTTTTCCAAGCAGAAGGGGAAGGGGTCATCTGGATTCTCCCTTCTTGGGAGGCCCTCAGAACCCCAAAGCCAGAAGCCAAGCCTGGGGGCTCACTGCCTACAGTCCCAGCACTAGGAAGAACTAGACAGGAGCACCGTGAGTCTGAGGGCAGCCGGGAAAGAGCAGCTTTTACTTAAGGACAACTGTGGATGCTGCTGTAGACGACGGCTGCAGGCAGATGCTGTAGGCCTCAGAGCTGGGCCACGGCTCCTCTGAGAGAAGAGTTAACTCAGCAAGCGCTGGCTGCGGCCTCACTCAGGGTACCATCGCACCACTGCAGCAAATTCTGCTTTAACGAGCAGCCCAGGCCATCAGAACTCTAGAGACCTGTGCTGCCTTACACAAAATAGAAAGCCTGCGTTGTAAAACTTAGTCCTTGGCAGAATGATGGTATGTCTACCCAGACATCCAGTTAGCCCTAGACAGGTGTTAACAAACAGGATCCACAGCACCGCAAACACGGCCTGCCTCAAGAGAAAGCGCTGGAAACCCTAGAATCATGCCTCGTAGAGCGCCATTCCTGTGCAGCCTGCCCCCACAGCAACCGGCTGAGCCACAAGGTCAGCGTCCATTTCAACAGCCTCAGACTCTCATGGACAGTTAAGTATGCCTGACTACACATGAGGCAGGCCCAGCCCCAGCAGGGTCTGTCCTTGAAGCCAGCAGAGCAGGCGTTCCTGTCAGGAGACACAGAAGTCTCAGCTCCTGCCTGCCACAGCGGCAGACTCACAGACCCGCTTCCCAGTGCAGCCCCAGAGACACATCAACAGCCTCATCTCCTGCCTGCTTGTGGCCATGTGACTAGAAGCCAGGGAAAAGGCCTTCTCTGTCGTTGCTTTTAACTAATAGCTAATTTCTTGGAGAATAAATATAGTCTCTTTTTTTTTTTTTTTGAAAAAAAAAATGCCTGTCATACCAGCTGCTTAGGAGGCTGAGGCAAGAGGATTTCAAGTTCAAGGCTAGCCTGTGCTACAGAGTGAGTTCAAGGCTAGCCCTGGAAACTCAGTGAGTAAATGGAAAAAGAAAGCCAAGAATGCTTGCTAGTGTGCATGTGGTTCCCAGCCCCGGCGATGTCCCCAACACTGCAAAATAAGAAAAACAGAAAATCACGCTGTGAGATTCAAAATGCAGGGCTTCGCTTTGCTCTTTTTAAACTGATTTTTTTAAAATATTTTCTTCTCTAGGAAAGCATAAATGGTCTTAGCTACAGCAAGGAAAGGAAAGTATTAGCAATTTTTTAAAAATGAAGTTTTTGTTGTTGTTGTTCGTTTTTGTTTTGTTGCGATTGTTTTTTGAGACAGGGTTTCTCTGTGTAACCACCCTGGCTGTCCTGGAACTAGCTCAGGCTGCCTCAAACTCACAGAGATCCACCTGTCTCTGCCTTCGAGTGCTGGGATTAAGCCCAGAAAAGAAAGTTATTGTTAAACAACAAAAACTATCAGTGGTAAAAACAGCTCTGGTTGGGAGCCAGCCAAGCACAAGCACCCAGCAGTGGACCAGCACATAACCATATCGACGTTATCTTCCCATAGCAACAGACCCGCCCATAGCAACCGTGGACCCTCCCATATCGATGTATCTTCCAATAGCAACAGGCCCTCCTATAACCGACCCTCCCGCAGCAACAGACCCACCCATAGCAACAGATCCGCCCATAGCAACTGACCCTCCCATAGCAATGGACCCACCCATAGCAACAGACTCTTCCATAGCAACAGACCCGCCCATAGCAACTGACACTCCCGCAGCAAAGGTGAACACCCATCCCACCCCCACCTCACCTGCAGCTACCAGTAAGAGCTCCACAGTCAGGTCTGGCATGATGGCGCACATCTGTAACCATGACACTCAGGAGCTGAGGCAGGAGGACTGCAAACTTGAGGCCAGCCTTGGCTGCACAGTGAGACCTTATCTCAGAAAGACAGAGCAGGCGGAGGTGACACAGACAGACAGAAAAGCTCCAGAGCCAAATCTGGTTCCCAGCGAGCAGGGCACAGAGAAACCAGGTCCTTAGTGAATGTGGGACCCCATGCCCACAGGCTTTCCGCCCCTCGGAAACTGCCTTCTGGTCCTCACACAGGTCCGCACGTCCCTACAGACCAGGTAACAAGACTCTAGGGGCCCGACAAGGAACTCTTGTTAATCTACCAAGGACACCTGCCTGGGTCACCGGGAACTTTCTCCTCACTCCAGTAGACAGCCTGCAGGCCTTCCTGGGTGTTCTGCAAGCTCCCTCCACTCAGCATTGACTCGGGCCACTGCATCACGGTCTGACTGGTGGTCAGCATTGGCTCAGACCACGGCAACGCGGTCTGACTTGGCGGGATAATATTTTGGTCTTTACATTTAGCATGGATCCCTCTGCCCTCTTGGGGTGCTGTGACTTCCCACTGGATTTCTGCTGTCTGTTGAGAAGAGGCCTCATTCTCTAGCTGCGCTCAGCTGACCTGGAACTCACTATGTACCTCAGGATGGCCTCAAAGTTGTAGCAATTCTCCTGCCCCAGCCTCCTGAGTGACAAGATGACAAGGATAGGGGTCCACATCGTGCACCTCCATTTCTCTACTGCCTGGTAAGAACCAAAATAATCAACTCTACTATGAAAGTCAAGAAAGAGCCAGGTGTGATGGTGTACACCCTCAGTCCCAGCAGAGGTGGGTCTGGATGAGGTCATGGCCAGACTAGGCTATATATGCAGTTCCAGGGCAGCCAGGGCTACATAATAGAGAAATCCTGTCTCAAAAACAAACAAAAAGTTATGAGCTGTTATTTACTGAATTTTAAGTCTCTTTTAAGAAGTCAACAGGATGAGATTCCAACTCAAGTCCTGGTTCTTATTTCTTCTTGGTTGTTCTGTTCTGTTGGTCTTTTTCTTAACAATTAGGCAGACCTGATTGAAATGGGAACCACCAGGAAGTGGTGGAAAAGCCGGACAGAGAAGGGCTAGAGAGGACAGCAGTGCCCAGCCCTCTCGCTTGGAACACAAACACCCATCCAGCCTCACCGCCTGACCGCCCATCATGGTCTCTGGCACAGGGAATCCAGGACGGACATCATCCTGGGTGGCCCAAGTAAGGAAGGCACACTAGTGGTGGCTTCTGAAGCTCAAAACACACAGGAAGGGTTTTCCAGGTCGAATCTACAGCCCATTTGCTCAGCCAAGGTCATGGAAAAGCCAGGAAATCTACCAGAAGGACGGCGTCCCCAGTAGGACGTGGCAGCTCCTGTGGGGGGAGAAGCTGAGGCACACGGGTTCCATGTCAGCCACGGTGCGTTCTGTCTCCATCTGAAAGGAGTCAGAGGCTCATGTATGTAACCTAGCACCCAAGCTCAGACAGGAGGATTGCGCTACAACGCTCTATACCAACAGAAACCACATCACCTAAAAGAAAGGAGAAATGTCTGTAGGTAGGCAACCAGCTAGCTACTTCACTAGAAAACCAGAGACAGAGATGAAGTATTCAGGCATGGCGGAGGCTAGGGCTGTCTAAACACATGAAGTCAGTTGATGGCTGTGCCATGAGCCCCAGCAGAAGACTACTAACAACTCTTTTCTCCACCAAGAAAACGCTAAATAAGCCTCTTATCTTCATGGCGGTTACCGGGAAGTGGCAGCATCTGAGGAAGAACTCAGGGCTTCCAGCACACACATCCCTCTGCTTCTGCCTCTCCTCAGATGCACACATACACCAGCCACCTACTAAGGGGAGTGGGGAGCTCCCACCCAAAGGCAGGCTCACCTCCTCAACCTCAGCACCAACCAGTGAGAAAAAAAAATGAAAATTTGAAAAACAGATCTGTAGTCATAGAAGTGAAGATATTACACAGAGATGGTTCAGGACTACTAACCCAGGTGCAAGAATCCTTATTAGAGACAGCAACTCAGGGAGAAGTCACATAAAGACAGGCAGAGATGCATGGTGAAGCCATCAGGCAGAGAGTTAAAGAGGTGAGGGAGTGTTCTCTCTCCTCCCCGAGAGACACAGTCTACTCTCTCCCACTCACCTTAAAGTCTTGATCCCCCTGCCTCTGCCTCCCCAGCGCTAGGATGAATGGGCTGCACCCTCACACCCAGTTCTGGGTCACCTAGTTATATGCTAGTGTCTGTCATTGACAAAGTTCCACATGGTCACTTGCAACCCCAGAGTCTCATCGGTCAGGGCCAGAAAGGTCCATCTGCCCCATCACACCATAAATGACTTTGCCCTGTCCATCACACATCACACGCCAGTGAATCATGAGCTGACCACGACACCTGCAACTCCACGAGTCTAGGGACACCTCTCCTTCAGCCATGGGTGCTGCATGTCAGGTGCACCCAACATGGAAGAAATCCCCGAGGCCAAGAGACCTCCGAGGAGGCAAAGAGGAAAAGGGGCGCAGTTCTCTCCTGCACCCAGCATTGCCCCTCTTCCACAGCCATGAAGCCTGGGATCTCCTGGCTACACACAGTAGCAACAAACCTGGGGATGGTCCTATTTCCACACTGCTCCTATAAAATGCCTACCACGGAGAGAAAAGCACACAAGGTCATAGAACACGCCACTCGGGCACTACCATCTGGCCTAGGGAGCTCTCTTGTGTTCACGTCCGCCCACCCAATGACAAAGGAACAGGGCCTGTCCGGTAAAGCAAAGCCTCGACTCAGGTCTGGCATGGCACCGGTGGGTGGGCCCAGCTCTGAGGGGAGAAGGGCACTTCGTTTATGCTTCCCTCCCAAGCAAAGCTGTGAACCGAAACTCCAACATCAGGCTTCAGGTGCTGACCGCCAGGCTGGGGTTCCAGAAGCACGAGGAATATTCACAATCCTTCGTGCTTCCTCTCTTCCATTTGAACGATGACCAGGCGCACTGAAGGCCCCACAGGTCCTTGCTCGCTAACCCATGCCATCATTGAACTGGCTTCCTCAGGCGAGTCTATGGCATCTGGGTGCGCAAAATCAAATTCAAACTCAGACACACAGCTTCTTCCGGCCAGTCTTGCCCTGCCGGGGCCCACACAGTGTATGCAAAAGCAGTTGACGTCCTCCCCTCCCCCCCTCACCTCGGGTGGTGTAGCCGCCAATGACGTAAATCTTCCCCTTGCACTCGCAGGCAGAGAACTCCGCCAGAGGATTTGGCAGGGGAGCCACAAAATTCCACGCATCTTGTTCAGGGTTGTAGCACTCCACGTTGGACACCGCCTGCCCGCCGATGGCGTAGAGCTTCGAACTGACGGCCACAAGCTTGAAGTTAGAGCTGAAAGAAAGAAGCAAGCCCACAAGGTCAGTCCTGGTCGAGATGTGGGGAGAGGAAGCTCTCCAGCAGACCCTGTCAGGTTTTACGTGGATATAGTTGACCGCGTTGAAGCGCCAGTTGTTACAATGAGCAGGGCCCCTTGTTTGTCCCTGCCGACCAGCTTGCTTAGCCCCAAAATAACCACACAAAAACTGTATTAATTTAAACACTGCTTGGCCATTAGCTCTAACTTCTTATTGGCTCTTACATATTATTTAACCCATCTCCATTAATCTGTGTATCGCCATTTGGCTGTGGCTTCCTGACAAGATTCTAACCTGTGTTCTGTCTGAGGCGGAGGATCCATGGCTTCTCCCTGACTCTGCTTTCTTCCTCCCAGCATTCAGTTCTGTCTTCTCTGCCTACCTAAGTTCTGCCCTATCAGACCCAAAGCAGTTTCTTTGTTCATCAGCCAATGAAAGCAACACACAAACAGAAGGGACTCCTACACCAAAGGGGAAAGGAACCAGGCAGCAGCTTGGTGTTGCCTTCAAATCCCACCCCTTGAGAGACCCACATTCTAAACTTTCCACAACCTCACCAAACAGCGTCACCAGCTGGGGAAGAAATACCCAAGACCAGCCTGAAGGTGGGGGAGGAGAAGGGAAGAAGTGAACGGGGCGGGGACAACGCAGACCACTACCTACAGATGCTAGGACATGATATTCTAGGGGGACAGGCAGGAGAGCAAGCACGGCTGGAGCGAGGACCCAGTGGTGAGAGCATTGGCTGCTCAGTTGCCCGCACCCATATGGCAGCTCACAACCTCCTGTAACTCCAGCTCTGGGGATCTGATGCCCTCTTCTGGCCTCCTCAGGCACTGCACACAGGTGGCATATATTCATACAAACATACATTGAAATATTTTTAAAATACATCTTTGAGAGAGAGAGAGAGAGAGAGAGAGAGAGAGAGAGAGAGAGAGAGAGAGAGAGAGAACAGAGACTCGCAGACGCACCCCTAGGCTTTCTCCTCCCAGAATGGCTCGTTCATTTTCCCTCAGAGAGGAGGTTCCATCCAGGTACAATAGAGGCACTAGCGGGTGCCAAGAAGACCCATAGCCACCAGTAGGGACCCCCCCCACCATAGGGCAGCTCATACACCACCCACCTGCTCTATATAAGTGGGAGGGCTAAGATGAACCAATTAAAATCCTCTGGTCCAGTAGTTTACTTATAGATGTTAACAGACACGTGTCTCGACAAATGTGTTGTCGTTGGCTTCAAATATTAGCTGAGTAAGACAAAGTCAGTTTGTTCTGAGGGAGTCCCCACCCCTCTGTAGAGACACGCAACAGGCAAGTTCACAAGCCTGCAGTGGGCTACAACACAAAGGCTGGGCAGCCCGTCCATTTCAGGTCCTCACCTCTAACGTGGGGGTGGGGGGATCTCACCCGAGGGACTAAACACGCAAGCAAGGGATGCTCTCGGCACAACCTCGAGGCTTTGTGCCGCGTGAAATGAGCGTGCTGGACACGGCCCTTGTGTCTAACTCCAACAAGGACTGCGGGCAGAAGCCACAAAGGCAAAGCAGCAGCCCAGGCCGTGTGCGTGGGAAGATCGAGTCCAGGGCCACAGCCAGGTGCGGCATTCGCCAGCAAGAGCACAAAGAAAGTACAGAGCTTTTCGGTGTCTGGATGCACAAGAACCGGTTCCATTTTGTTTTCCAAACGAGAGGGCGAGCCCAGCGTCCTTCACCTAGAGCCTCGGAGCTGTTAAACCCAGCCAGCCATGCAGATGGACTTCACCCTGGTGGCAGCAACTGGGGGGTCCCCACTGCCAATGGTCCTTAACGTCCAACCATGATGCCCTCCCTGTGTGTGCAGACCTGGTGAACCAGAGGAAATAACGTTTGTAAACAGGCACTAAATCCTGACCGGCTCAGGCTGGTTTCACTTCCCACAGGTACACAGATAGTAAATTCTGTAATATCAAAACACCGTGTGTGATTCATCCAGCATGCTCCTCTGTCTTAAGCAAACAGGTAAGGGCCTTTTTTTTTTTTCTGAGACCAATCGGACAGGCAGCTAAGTAAACAACTTCATCCCTCCAAACCCCGTACGTGCGAGCTCTCGTCAAGAGAAACGTTTATTAATGTTGGGTTTGCTTGCAGATGGGCTGGCCACTTGAAAACAAACCGACTGCTAAATTTAGAGGCAAATCTCTGAGGGCTCCAACTCCAGGCTTGCACAAGGAAATCTACACTCCACTGCTGAACAGCTGTGCCACCTGGGGCAGGGACTGAAGCTCAGTAGATCTGTGCCTCAGTTTCCCCATCTCTGAAGTAGAGTCAAGCACACAGGCTGCTCTATGGGGCATGGGGAGGGTGATTTTCCTCGTGTCTTAAGCCTTGGTTTTATTTTTTAAAAGATTTGTTTTTTGTTTTTAATTGCATACACATGAGGCTGGGTGTGTGTGAGGGCAGATGAATGCAGGTGCCCACAGCGACCATGAGCCACCTGACAAGGGTGCTGGGAACCAAGCTCAGGTCCACTGGGACAGCAGTGTGTGCCCTTAACTGTGAAACCATTGCTTCAGCTCCTCTCTCTCTTTCTGCGTGCGCGTGTGCGCATGTGTGTGTGCACCTGTGTGCATGTGGGAGTGTGCATGCCACAGCGCACAGATGGAGGTCAGAGGAAAACTTGCAGGCGTTGGTTCTCTCCTTCAACCACACGCATCCCAGGGGTGGGCATGGGTCGTCAGGCTCAGCAGCAGCCTCCGTACTTGCTGAACCCTCTCTCCAGCCTGGACTGCAGCTTCTTAACTCCATGGGAGAGGGCTGGCTTTTCATTGCAGCGCAGACGGCCTCCAGAACTCTGCAGTCTGGGATCCCTTCTGCACACCCGACACTTCATTTGCAGTGTCTGCAAGCGGCTCACACTGCCCACCTCAGAACAGGACGGTGCCATGCGTCTGAGCCACCGATAACTCCCCAGTTACCTCTTCTCCCTTCATACTGGCCCCTGACACACTCTGTTCAGGAAGGAAGATGCTAACTGTCATACCAAATAAGCCTCCATTTTGTAGCTGTATATGACTCGTTTACAATAAATAAAAAGCAAGTGGGGAAAATTAGACATGGCTGCAATTTAATTTTCATTTCACTGAGAAGAAATAAAAAGCCCTCTAGGACTGCAGCCACAGCCTGACGACAATGGAGCATGGCTTAGCACGCCCGAGGCCCTGGGTTCAGTTTCCAAAGCAGAGGCAGGGAAGGGGTATGATTCCATAGGGGCTGATGCAGGATAATCTTAAGAGTTCAAAGCCAGCCTGGGCTACACAGTGAGAGACCAAGCTGAGCTATACAGCAAGACCCTGACTCAAGCACACACTTCAAACCTAAGCGATGAGAACTTTGCTAACCACCTGGCCCCCGACCAACAGCCGTGAGAACCATAATGAGGAGGGCAACGGCCCAGAGTGGGGTCTCGTCCTGTGACCACGGGAAAGGACGTTAGACTCTCTGGAGAAATGGGGCCAATAACAAAGCCAGCCTCGCAGAGTTGCTGGGGTTAATGATGAAGTGAGGACAACGCTTGACCCAGAAACAGAGTTCCGGAAACAAAAAGCCACCGTGGCTTGCTATAGACAATTCTGTGACTGTGAAACTCAACATTCCTCCCTGGCCTGGACAGTGTGCGCATCCCCATCCAGTTCCTCGGTCGCTCCTTCCCCTCCCTGCCTCTGCTGTAGTGACCTCCCCTGGGGACCAGGATGGGGAGAAGGTGGGAAACAAGCGCTCATTGTGGCTCCAACCACCTGTGGGAAACTCAAAAATCAATTTCAACTGTTGGCCAGAACTCGACTGTGGAGGTTAACAGGCCTGCCACTTTCTCTCCTCCCCTGGAGTCCAGCTGTGTGGGCTCCCCAGCAGGACAAAGTCCCTCTAGGGTTCCCCCCTCAGGCTCCTCTGCCAGCAGCTGGCTGCCCTTGAGGCCTCTCCGACCTTGCTGCATTCACACAAACAGGACCCACCTGGCTCCACCTTCAGAGCAGAAGCCAGGGCTGAGGGAGACCCTAGGAACAATCTTAGACATTTAAGGACGTTTCCAAAGGCCAGCTGCAGTCAGTGGCCAGTTCCTGCAAGCCGCCCCTAATTAAGGTGTGGAGGGGGAGGCAATTCTGTGGTCATGCAAGCTTTTACATGTCAAGAGTCAAATCTGTGTTCAGACAATGAACCGGTGTTTTATGCCTGGAAAAACCTTCCAAAATAAAAAAAAAAAAATGCTGGGACTTTTATAGTCACTTTATTTTTAAAAATTACATTTGTGTGTGTGTGTGTGCGCGCGTGTGAACACATACACAGGCCACGGCACACATGGGAAGGTCAAAGAAGAGCTTGTAGGAACCAATCCTCTCCTTCTACCATGTGAGTCCCGGGACCTGAACTCCGCACATCATCAGGTTTGCCTGTAGGTGGCTTTAACAACTGAGATCATCTCACTGGCCGATACAGTCATTTTCAAGCCTGTAACTTTACACTGTACCTTGAAAAGAAATCTCAGAGATTCACATCTCAGCACAAAAAGGCAAAGTCGTATGACAGAACGTGGTACCGAGGCGTAGTCCACATTCTCAGCCGGAGAAAACTTCTATGGACAGGATATAAAAAAGTCACACACAGCAAATCCAGCTGAAAAGATAAAACTGCTTCTTGCATGTAGCCACTCAAACCCAGGGTCTAGGAACCGGGGCTTGCGTGCTTGCATGCCCTGAACTGAGCTGCATTCTGCTTGCTGCGCCATGTTCCAATTGTTGGTGATTCCCTCGTTTTCAAGACAGAATCAATTGCCAACATCTAGAGACTCTGTTACCTCACACCCTGACTCCTCACTTCCACAAGGGAATAACCAGGGTGGTCCAGGGTGAGGAGGTCTGTGGGTGACACACGGACACCAGGTCCCCCAGAACTGCCACCCACTCTTCTACTCACTGACATCACTCACCCTGCCACTTTAGGACTCCAGTGTTGAATCACACACTCAGACAACAACCCAGTGTGCTGGCGTGTGCCGCTAATCCCAGCTTCCTGGGGTGGAGGCAGAAAGTGAAGAATGCAACGTCATGCTCAGATACAGAGTTCAAGGCCCACTTGGATACATGAGACCCTGTCTCAAAAAATTAATAAAATAACAACAAAAACCACACCAAAAATTATATCAATAGATACGCATCTGTGAACACGCACACAAAAAAAATTGTTGTGGAGCCGGGTGGTGGTGGCACACGCCTTTAATCCTAGCACTCGGGAGGCAGAGGCAGGCAGATCTCTGTGAGTTCGAGGCCAGCCTGGACTAGAAGAGCTAGTTCCAGGACAGGAACCAAAAAGCTACAGAGAAACCCTGTCTCAAAAAAATCAAAAAAAAAATTGTTGTGGGATATTTTATCACATTCTGACGCTCCCAACTGACAATAAAATTTACCTTGAATCAGAGAACAAAGCCAGCTGCTGGCTGACCAGAATCAGTCATAGAGGTTTTGGAGGACCCAGGACATATAGAGAGACACAGGAAGTAGTAGAAAGGGGTTAGAAAGATTTGTGGTCAGTTTGAATCAAAGATGGAGAGAGAAAGGACCTCACTCCTCTGATCAGTCAGGCTTTAAGCTCATATCTGACTCCCAAGCTTCTATTAATAAAAGAAGAGTTTAGGTAATTGTTACAAATATACATATACAATAACCATTAATTAGAAGAAACATTAAGTACTCTAATAATTTTAGAGTAAAAATATGCAGATACATGCCCCACTCACTCAGAAATATATACACACAGCTCCAGATGATAACGCTGGCCACGCCTATATTTATGTAAGCATCCACGCATTTATAATACCTAACTATGACATGCATGTGTAGACACTATTGTGGTTTGGGTACCTAGTGGGTAAAAGGCTCATGCGTTGAAGGGTTGGTCCCCTTGCATTGTTCACAAGTAGATTTAGGGAGGGCATCAGCCATAGATGGAGTCACGTGACACTGTGACAAGACTGGACACACACACACCCCTCTGCCATGAGCTGAGCCACTCTGTTCCACTGTGTGTTCTTGGCCGTCATTCTTGGTCCCTAATAATACCCCCTCCCCACACAGCCGCTTTCCCTTGTCTCCGAATGAAATATAATTTCTCACAGTGAAATAATCAAGGGACAAGTGGCAATGGCTAATACTGTCAGCTCGACAGGATCTAGAACTACAGAGAGAAGCTCTGGGCGGGCGGTCCACAAAGAATGTTCTAGATTAACTGAGAAGGGAAGACCTATCCTGAAAGTGGGCGGCACTATTCTACCTTCTGGGATCCAGACTATAAAAAGGAGAGCAAGCTGGACACCAGCATCCATCACTCCTGACTGCTCCCTCAGGCTCTCACCACCACACCTTCTCTGCCCTCAACCATGTGCCAAAACAAACCCTCCCTTCCTGGAGCTGCTTCAGGTGCCTGGCACCGCATTGAAGGAGGAGGAACTCACTTTAGCTTCCTTGTAAGGCAGGAGTGCAACACAGCTTGACCATGTTTAAAGAGAACAGAAAAACACTTTGAGGCAAATGGACCAAGGATCTCAGGCTAAAAAGAGAAGACAGGTGAGGGGTCAGGACTGTGGAGTTAAGGTCACCATTCCTAGTCCAAGTGGATGGAGCTGGAGACAGACACACAGGGGAGAGGTAAGGCAGAACCTAGAACCTTCTACCCAATCTCAGATACACAGGGGAGAGGTAAGACAGAACCTAGAGCCTTCTACCCAATCTCAGACACGCGGGGAAGAGGGAAAACAGAATCTAGAACCTTCCACCTGATCTCAGACACACATAGAAGAGGTAAGACAGAACCTAGAACCTTCCACCTGATCTCAAGACACACAGGGGAGAGGTAAAACAGAACCTAGAACCTTCCACCTGATCTCAGACATACAGGGGAGAGGTAAAAACAGAACCTAGAACCTTTCACCTGATCTCAGACACGCAAGGGAAAGGTAAGACAGAACCTAGAACCTTCTACCCAATCTCAGAAACGTAGGAGAGAGGTAAGACAGGACCTAGAACCTTCCACCTGATCTCAGACACACAGGGGAGAGGTAAAACAGAATCTAGAACCTTCCACCTGATCTCAGACACGCAAGGGAAAGGTAAGACAGAATCTAGAACCTTCTACCCAATCTCAGAAACGCAGGAGAGAGGTAAGACAGGACCTAGAACCTTCCACCTGATCTCAGACATGCAAGGGAAAGGTAAGACAGAACCTAGAACCTTCTACCCAATCTCAAAAACGCAGGAGAGAGGTAAGACAGGACCTAGAACCTTCCACCCAATCTCAGAGCACCACCTTTGCTGATTAACTAGAGCGCTTAAAAAGTATTTTGAGATAACACTTTTGATGCTAAGCTTTATTATTTTTTGTTTGTTTGTTTTCAGAAAGGGTCTCTGTAGCTCAGGCTAGACAACAGATCTTCCACCTCAGCCTCTCAAGCCAGGATGATGTGATGCAAGTATCATATTACAGGAGGTTGGACGACCCCGCCCCCAACCCCTAGCTAGTACCTCGGGAAGGGACAGGGAGTGAATGACACATTCATCTCTACTCCTTATGCTTCAGCCTGCCAGGATTTTTAGGATTTATTTTTTATTTTTATTTGCGTGCCTGTATGTGTATGCACACATGCATGTGAGTGCCCTGGATGCCCTGCAGCTGAAGTTACAGCACCCAGTGTGGGCGCTGGGAACTGAACACCAGTCTTAAGCAAGAGCAGCAAGTGCTCTTCACGTCTGAGCCAGCAGAACAAGATCTGTTTCTGCAAATAACCTCTGACCTTAGAGTCCCTTGTCCTGTGATGGGCCCAGGCGGTTCCAGTTCAGGGCGGAGACCACAGCGGGACTTGGATGGCAGCAGGCGGTGGCCTGGTAGAGAGTAGCCTGCCAGTCCTCTCCTGATCACTTTTCTCTCTGCTTCTGGGATGCTGGTGATTGAATCCAGGCCTCATGAGTGGTTAGCAAACGCTCCAACACACACTGAGATACCGTTTACCCACTCTTCTGAGTTTTGTTTCATTATCCAGGCTGGCCCGGAACTCACCTGTAACCTAGAAAGGTCCTTAACGTGGAACCTACCTGCTTCAGCCTTCTAAGCAGCCGGGGGAACAAACCTGCAACACAGGATCCCACTTCCCAGGCAACTTGGGCCCTGCAGTCTTGACTCCCTTTCTCTTCCTTTATCTGCTTCTCTCTGTCATTTTCTTCCCCTGACTCCTCTCCTTGCTTCTCCTCCCACCCTGGCCCCAAGCTGCGCCTTTACTCCTCCAAGTCACCCAGGGTCAAGGCAAGAGGGCTCCACAGGAGGGGAAAGGTGAGGGAAGGAGGGAAGAAGAAATGCCTCTGGTCCTTTGAGTTCACAGCTTCATAGACTATTGAACACGTACAGGCTGGTTTTTGTTGTTCTCTAAATGATAGTCTGACAACCACTGGCATGGTAGAGGCATTCCATTTGAAGTTATAGATAACAGAGATTATTTATTGTAGAAAGCCGGCTGCAGTAGTGCAAACCTTTGCTCTGAAGGCTAGAAGGCAGGAAGAAGGATCACTTGGGCCTAGCAAGTCCAGGAGCTCAAGACCAGCCACAGGAACGCACCGGGATAAAGGAAAACCACCAAACATAAGCAGGAGGGTAGTATGTAGGCTTTCTGCTGATGGTACTGCCACAAGGGACTCTACAGAGGGACCAGGGCACGTCCGTTCTGTAGGTGACCACTCGGGGCTCAAGTTTTGGGTCAAAGATGATTGCTGTCTAGCGAGGATAAAAGAGGGGAGAATGAAAGGGAAAAAGAAAAGAACCCCTATGTGGCGCGTATTAATGTCATCCTAGGGATAGCGGATGCGAAGTCACTGACAGCAGCAACAAAAGTTCCCCAAAGCCAGCATTAGCTGCTGCCCAAGCCACATTACAATTCGGATCAGACCAGGAAAGAAAAGAGACGGAAAAAAAACAGAAGTTATCTTTTGCAATATCCTCTGCGAGCACATTGATACAGAGAAGCATAAGGCTCGCACCGGTAAGAAGGCCGGTGACTGGGCTAGGTGACGTCTTCCTGGCCAGCCCTGGACTCTCTGGGCACTTCGCCAGGCGCGGCGAGGCCAGCAGCACTCAGCGAGATGCCACCGCCTCTGGCCAGCAAACAGCTGGGCAATGAATGAAGCTGGCACTTACCGCTTCTGGTTCATGGAGGCCACCTGCAGCCACTCGTTGGTGGTGGGGTTGTAGGAGTGTGCGGCCGAGATCTCTTGGCTGGTGATCCTGTACCCGCCCACGATGAAGAGGTAGTTGTCCAAGATGGCTGAGCCATAGCCCCTGACGTTCACCAGGTCAGGGGGCAGATTGTTGGCCAGCGGGAACCAGCGTTCCGTGCTCTCCTCGTACCTAAGCATGGACGGGGGTTCCCCCTGATAGGGATGCGGGGCCAAGGGTCCCCCGAGGAAGTCCCCCAGGGCCACTAGGACCGGGGTCCCGCGCATGCGGTCCTCCCTCAGTCTCTGCTTCAGGTTGCAGTCCCCGGGACCCGGCGGCGGCGACAGCAGCAGCGGGAAGTGCGGCTGGCACAGCACCTGGTGGAAGCGCAGAGCCATGAAGCGCAGGCAGGCGTCCTGCAGGTCGGGCAGCCCGTACACCTGAGCCAGGCGGTACAGCTCCAAGCAGTTGCCCAGGCGCACATGCGACAGCAACAGGCGCAGCAGCGCCGTGACCTGCAGGAAGGACGCGGCCTCCACCAGCTCGGCCAGCACGCTAGCCTCGGCCAGCTCGTCCTCCGCCAGGCCCCAGCCCTCGCGCGCGCCGCCCGCGTTGATGAAGTCCAGCACCAGCCGCAGGCCCGGTGCGCTCAGGCCGCGCAGCTGCTGCACCTCGGGGCCGGCCTCGGGCCGCACGGCCTCGCGCATGCCGGAGCGGTAGAGCGCGCGGAAGTAGTCGCTCTGTTCGATCAGTTTGCTCTTGCTCACCGGGTAGCAACGGTCTTCCAGGCGGATCTGTACCATCTCCTCGGCGGACATGGCTGGGCCGCTGCGCCCAGCCGCCCGGCCGCGCAGGCTCCTCCCCCGGGCTCACACCCTCCGCCGAGCCGGGCCTGAGCTTCCTTCCGCCGCCGCGGCCCCGGGCTCGGCCCCGCCGGCACGTCAGGCGCCCTCCGTGTAAATGGCCTCTCTGTGTCTTTTATCGACGTGTCTGTGTGGGTTCGTGCGCGTGAGCGCAGGCGACGGGAAGCCAAAGGCGGCAGATGACTCCGCAAACCCGAGGGACGAGCGGTTGTGAGCCGCCCTACACGAGAACCGAACTCCCGACTTCCGCAGCAGCACTGTGCGTTCCTCCAGCACGGCATTTAAACTTTTTGTTAATTGGTTAGGAAACAAACAAACAAACGAGCGGGTTCGCGGTGCCTTCTCCCTAAGCACAAGTCATTTGTACAGGTTTCCCGCCGCAGCTCGGCGGTCCCTGTGTGAGATTTCTGGGACCAGTCATAACTGTTAAAGAGTTTGAACTGTGACCAGTCTGGTGGTTCATAAGTACACTGAAGGATTACTGGAGCTAAGGAGTTTTAGAAAAGTTATTAACTCCATGGACAAGGCGGGCAGGCAGACAGACAGACAAACAGACAGGAGGGCAATGGCACCGGAGACAGCAGAGCAGGGTCTCTGGAGAGCCAGTGGCCCAGAGTGAGCACCAGAAGGAGCGGGTAAATAGGACACTGAGACGCATTCTGCCTGTCACTTCTGCGCACAGATCTGACCCCAGATAGCACCTGCCCAGCTACCCCCCATCACCCCAACCATAGCTGTTAGAAGGCTGCTCCCATCTCCCCTGGGAGGCTGCTTGGTTAGAAGGCTGAGCTCTAGGGGCTGGTGAAGAGGTAGATGGTAGATGCTTGCAGGCATGGGCCCCTAAGTTGCATCAATCACCCCCCCCCCCCCGCAAGTCTGCTGCTTCACAGAGAGGGGGCTTTCGGCCATTGCATTCTGCAGGTTATAAGCAAGGATAAGGAGCAAGAAAGAACATTCTAGTGGAGTTCTGCCTTGCTAGGGGGAAGAGAAGAGACACAAATGCATGAACTTGCTGTTTGTTATATACACGCTGTTACTTTCTCAGATTCTCCAGGAAACTTGGGATACTGCGCTGTGATTGACAGGCCTTGAACCTTTCCTGGATGGCTTCCACTCCGTATCTGTCACTCTCAGTGTTTTGGGGATGGGGAAGGTGCAGGTGAGGGGCCAAGGATTTAGCTGTCTCTGTGGCAAGGCAAAGTGCCACATCTACCATTAGACATTAGGCTGGGGGCTGCTGGGAGCTACGACTTCAAAGAGGTTGGACCTGGACCTGTCTGTGCTTCCATTAGCAACGAGGTGGATTCAGTGGGTCACCAGAAGGACAGGCTCTTTCTTAGTCCCTGGTTCTTTAGAACCTTTACCAATGGGAGCTTTTGTTTCCAGATCACAGATCTGCCTTCAACCGGTATTCTCTTGCCTTTTAAAAACAAACCAAAAAGCCGACCTTTGAGAATGATTCTCATTAGAGAGGCAATTCAACCACAGTCACTTTAGCACGGTGAGATCAGCTGGGACTAAAATCTGGACTGTCCCCTGACAATGCCAGGCACCAGTCCAGCGAGGTTTTTGGCCCCAGACAACACAATGACATTATTGGAAACCCGGCATCTTTAAAAGAATCTAACAATTTTAGTAAACCACACAGTGAGTATTCTAGAAAACTGGGCATAAAGACAAACACATATAAACTCCTTCGTTACAAAGTAGCTAAACTACGATTTCAAGGCATTGTGAATGCACGGCTTAGTGTTAGCACACCCACCAGACAGACCTGACCCTGATCATTCAACTGCTCACACAGGGGCAGCTTCTGCTCAGAGGCCTACAGCCTCTGCAGGTCACGGCCCAGGGGAGTCTGCTCCTGCTGCTTTGCTAAATGGCTATGTTGTCAAATCACCTTTAAATATTCTGTTCATAGATCACATTGGCTGAATAAATCTTTTCTGCAGTGGGCAGCGGGGCGGAGACAGACAAACAGTCAAAATGCAGAGACGTGACTGAAGATTCAGCCCTCAACTGGACATCTTAGCAACCCTCCCCTGGTGCTTGGGAAACAACATGGAAGAGGGCCGAGAGAATACGCTGGAGGGTGGAGAGGGGGCTATGAGGTGCTGTCTTCTGGATGCGACATGGCTGTGGCATTCATGAGTTCACAGACGCTACGGGTCCCTGCATGAGATCATGCCGACAAGAGCGGCCGGCATTCCAGCAGGCGGCACTCAGTGGGATGCAAGTGACAGAGGTGTGTGTCGGTTGGGAGGCGTTGGGTGGAGAAATTAATAGGGGGAGGATATGCTCAAGATTATATACATGTATGAAATTGTCAAATTCTAAAAACATTTTATGCAAAATAAACATATCCGTATCATCAGCATACAAGTTTTCTTTTAGTAAATGGTAAAATTAAATGCAAAGCAGTGAATTGTTAATTAAAATTCTTTACGGTTTACTCTCTGTAAATATTTGATTTGTGTATCTATTTTAAATACTATATACCTGGAGTTAAGAAAAACATTTCTCCAGCAAAGGGAGTCATGTAGTACATACTTTAATTCCAGAATTTAGGAGAATGAGGCAGTCAGATCTGAGTTGAAGACTGGCCAGCCTGGTCTACATAACAAGTTCCAGGCTTGCCAGGTTTGCACAGGGAGATCCTGTCTCAAAAGTATGGGGGTTGAAAGTAGACAAGTTCAACAAGTCTCTCGAGTGCAGAGTTCCCAAAATTCTTAGAATGTCAGCTGGGACATTGGTAAAACTAAGAGTTCTGGTCCCCACAGCAGACCTACTGAATTAGGCTGGGGGGGGGGCGGTGTAAGGCTTTTGTCTAGATCCACACCTCACTTTTGAACTCTCTCCAGAACATTCTAGGGATGGCATGCAGCTCAGCGGTAGAATATTACCCAGCAAAAGGTCCCAGGGCTGCACACAAAAGCATGCTATTATAAAGAACTCTGGGGTGTGGCTGGCTGGTCAAAGTGCTTGCTGAGGAAGTCTGATGTCCTAAGGTTGAGTCTCAGGGCCACAGGGCAGTAGAGAGCTCTACAAAGTTGTCTCTGACATGGGCACCATGGTGTGTGAGAACCTGCGTGTGTGCACGTGTGTACATGTGTGTGTGTGTGTGAGTGCTCATGTGAGCATGAATCACGCATGTGTGATGTGCAGTGAGGAGACAGGCACATGTGTACAGGTTAGAAGACAACTCTGTGGGGTCCACTCTCCTGCCTCTACAGGGGCTGCTGGAGATGGACCTCGGGTCACCAGGCCTGAAGAGCGGCCACATATGCCCTTTAATGCTGTTGTATTTCACCTACATTATGAGCATTCAGAGTGCAGGGGTAGGGGGTGGAATCCTTAGTTTCTGTTAGGAAGAAACTGGCTTGCATGACCGGCTTACATGAAAACTGCTGGCCCTAACAAGTAAGTATACAATCAGTTTGCAGTTTTCGAGACATTAAACATTTTAAATGTTTTTCTTTCAAGTTTTGAAAAGTCAAATAAGTAAGTACATGAACTGGTTTTCTCGGGAGCCTGAAGAATATAGAACTTAAATGAAGTCGTGCTGCTGAGTGGCGCACACCTTTAATCCCAGCACGAGGGACGCAGAGGCAGGCGGATCGCTGTGAGTTCAAGGCCAGCCTTGAATTAGTCTACTGATCAGTTCCAGAGCAGGCTCCAAGCTACAGAGAAACCCTGTCTGGGGGTGGGGGGATGAAGTCACCAGCTCCTCAGCCTATACTGAACACCTCACAAAACCAGGTGTTGTTTCTGGAAACAGAGCCTCCCTTAATCTGATGTCAAGAGACAAGGTGATTGTTTTTCTCAGCAGAACTCTGGGCTAGAGTTTCTCTTGGCCTTCATATCTGTGAAGGAAAAGGTGTCTGTGACGCTTCACTCCCAGAGAAAGAAGAAAAGCCAAGAGGAGCATCCCCGTCTTCAAGAGACGAAGGGTCAAAACACTGAAACCTGCTGGAGAGGGTTCAGAGATGATGCCGCAGGACGGGCGCTCTCCCGGGGCCCAGCTGCGGAGGAACAAAGACGGTGCAGAACCGTCTCTGTAGAAGGAATCCCTGGACGCAGCCCATGGTCAGCTCCAGCTGCCTCCCTTTAGCGCCCAGAGATGCAGGCGGCGGGGCTGCTGCTGCTGCTGCTGCTGGGGCTGGCGTGCAGCGTGCATGGGCTCTGCTCGCCCTCGGTGTTCTACAGAGACTGCTGGATCCGCCGCTTCCCAGGGCTGCTCCTGAACCTAGAGGAGTCTCAGAGGCTGGGGGCCCAGTTCCTCAAGTACTACTCGGAGAACACGGGCCAGAAGTGCAGCCGGAGCTGCTGCCTCAGGAAGGACGGTGAGTGAGCTCAGGGCTGACTGAGCCCACGGGGGTGATGTCGCAGCATGAGGGCAGGCAGAGGGAAGACCAGGGAGGCCCCTGAAGCCGGAGCACTAGGCCCTGGCAGAAGGGGAGGACCCAGAAGGACCCCAGGAAGCGTCGGAGCAGGTGGTTTTGAATGAGATCTTTGTGACTCTGTAGAAGCAGGGCATCCTGCTGTCTTTGATACAGTGCTAAATGGATATATATTTCTTCCAGGGGTAACTAGGTTTATTTTCATAGACCAGCATTTCCATTAGGCTGGGTGCTGTGGCCTACATCTATAATCCCAGCATCTAGGAGCTCAAGAGTTCAAGGAGGGCTCAGCAACACTGCTGAGACCAGCCTGGACTATCTGAGACTGTGTCTCAGAACCAAAACAACAAGCAAACGAGCAAAATGGATTTGCAATGATTTACTTTTAAACTGTTATTATTTGTTAGTTTCTTTTAAAACTATCTTTTGAGAATTTCAATGTTTTGACCATAATCTCATCCCCACTCCTCCTTCAACTTTTCCCAAATCTCCCACCACCACCCAATTTCACATTCTCCTTTATAAAAAGATAATCTACTGAGTCCGATTTATGCTGTGACCGTGGGCCACGCCCTTATAGAATACAGACCCTGCCTCCCACGGAGCCATCAACTGTCAATCACTCCTCAGTCAGGGGTAGGGGCTCGTGAACTCCTTCCAGCTCCGTGCTGGAGTCGGGGGTCTGTCTTGTACAGTTGTAAGTTCAGGAAGTGTTTCTCCTTGTTTGTTTGTGTAGCCCACTTTGAACTCACCTGTCAGTGGTGGCTGACCTTGAACTCGTGGTCCTCCATCTCTGAATCCCAAGTGCTGGAATTATAGGCACACACACACTACCACATCTAGCTTAGTAATTTCTTCTTAATATAACTTTGAGGGTTTCAGCGTCGTGCCTGTTTTATAAGATCTCTCTTGGATCCATATGAAATAAGGGGTGTACTGGACAGGAAGATAGAATGTGGGTCATTCTATCTTCAAATTTCCCTAATAGATTCCTCTTCTCTATAATAAATGGCTTTTAGATGTAAATATCAGCCATATACTCATATCAAAGCCTTCAAGGTCACAGCCGCCTGAAACACAAAGACACTTTCATTTCTTTTTCAGTTTTCCCTAGTTTTAAAGCTACCTGGAAAGACACAAGAGCAAAGGTGGAAGAGGGGACCAACACCCAAGGTTGTCATTTGACCCACGGACACTCACACACATGCACACACATATGCACGTTCACAAAGATGCACGCTCACACATGCACACTCACACACACACATACAATCCCAGACCTGTCAGCATGACACACCTCAGCAGCCTGTGAGTCAGGTCAGGAAGGCAGGGCCCAGGTTGTCACCCTTGTCCACAGCTGGAGAACAGATACACATGGAATCTAAGGTCTCCTTCCTCTCCTCCCGCCCTCCCGTCCTCTCCCTTTCTGGAAGCAGCCCAAGCTTTCCTAAGCTCACAGTCCTGCTCCTCCCACCTCAGCCTCCCGAAAGCTGAGACTGTAGGTGGGCACCACCTTCCTGGTCCCACAGAAACCACGGGAAAGGGATGGAGAGACGTCCCTGTTTCCCACAGGTGTCTACACACCTATGTCACCTGCCTCCCCTCTCACAAACACACAAATGTACGTAATAAAAAAGTCAAATATTTCATAAAAGAATTCTTTCTAATAAACATAGCTTTCTATAAGCGAGATGTGGTGGCTGATGCCTGTAGTTCCAGCACTTGGGAGGCTGAGGCAGGGGGATTGCCCGAAATTGTGGTTATCTACAGGCTATCCAGTAAGATCTTACCTCAAAGAAAACAATCTTGTTCTCGACCACATCGGTGACTTTTTCACAAACCTAAATATTAAATAAGAACCTTTTCAGTTTCTTTCCCTTAGAAAGTCCTAGAACCATCCTCAGGGACTATTTTTGCCACCCAGTATATTAATAAAACATTAATCAATCGTGTTAGATCACTTCTCCTCTGGAAAGGATAGGAATGCAGAAACTCAAGGCTGTTCCAGAAGTGAGAGCGGAGCTGTGGCTCCCTGTGGCTGACCCTCCTGAGAGGCAGATCAGGGCTCCACCACAGTGTTCTCCACATCTCACCCCCAAGCCCTGGCTTGCTTCAGGGGTACACGGTGTCTCTGTTATCTTGCTTTATTAAGAGTGTGATGTCTCTGAGCCAGTGGACACATCCCATGATCCTGAGCAGTCTGCAGTGGGAATGACGTTCCAGTGCAGGCCAGGAGGCTGCGTTCCGTGCAGGTTAGTGAGGCTGTGTTCCAGTGCAGGTCAGGAGGCTGTGTTCCAGTGCAGGTCAGGGAGGCTGAGTTCCAAGCCGTGCACTAGTACCTGACTCTGGGTTTCCAGAGACAGCACAGTGTCTTAAGGAGCAAGTCTAGAAATGAGGCTGACATAGGTATGTGATATGCAATAGGCCCTGATAATCCCAGAGGTCAGCATCCTTCTCTTTACAACACCAATTAGGCTCCCTGGGGTCAAGGTTTAAACCCAGGTCCACACCCTCAGGTGTCACATGATCCTCTTGCTCTCCAATGAGCTGCTTCTCCGCCTTTCTTTTTATCTTCCTGCTTCCTCTCCTGGCCTCAGGACCTTAGCATTCAGAGGGCAGATTATGCCTGGAAACCAGAGGGTGCTTTCTAAACATTGTGTAGACAACAGATGGTCTCATGCACAAAAATACTAAGACTAAAATAGAATGATTCTTTGGGGTATGGTGGTGTGTGTCTTTAATTCCAGCAAGTAGAGGCGGGCAGATCTCTGAGTTAGGGCCAGCCAGTGTTACACAGTGAGTCTCTGTCTATAAATATAAATAATAAATAATCAATTAGCTAATCAATCCATTTACAATCCCAGCGCAGAGGCAGGAGGCCACAAGGCCTGGATTCAGACTGGTTTACATAACAAGTTTCAGGCCAGTTGGAGTTATTT